GGGGATCTCTTGGCCTTAGCACCATTTTCTTGGAAACCTCTGCACTGCACTGTGAGAGCCAAATGGAGGAAGGAGCAAATGTGTAGGCTGAAGTGAACCAGAAGAAAGACGAGGCAAAACTCCAAGTAAACCATTAGCTTGTGCCCTCATGGAAGCCGCAGCAGAAATAAGGAAAGCCAGAGAACAGAGACACTGGTACAAATTGTTGGATTGCATGCCTACTTTCTAGAACTTGACTCAATGGATCTGGAACATGCATCTACTTTTGAGAGACTCACCTTGTTTACACCAAAACAGTCCATTCTGGTCCTTGGCCCTGGACCTGTGTCTTTCGAGACTAATTCTGTTTTCATTTGTGGCTGAATCTAACATGTGTAAACAGAACCTCTCTTCTGCTATCTTAGGGGAAGGAAAAAAAGTAAATGAAAAGGTAAAACTAGTAATGAAAAATTTTTAAAAGAGTAAGTTGTTGGCATCATATGCCCCCCTACAAAGACATTCCCCTCGAAAACCCCAACAGACCCAACCAATCAGGAAGCTCACAAGGATACCCAACTGCCATCTAACTGCCTATCCCACTCGAGTTTCTCCAGTTGTCCCAGTGGTGTCCTTTATCTCAAAAGGATCCAACCTTCTTCTGGGTCAATGTGGCTCTGCCCTCTCACCCTGCATGGAGGCCTAGGCTTCTCTGCTGGGCCAGACTACCTTAGGACTGAGCTGTTTAGGCACGGAAGAGCAGGAGGAAGAACGAATACAAATACGGTTTTCTTTTCTTTTTTTTTTTAAATATTTTATCTATTTATTTGACAGAGAGAGATCACAAGTAGACAGAGAGGCAGGCAGAGAGAGAGAGAGAGGGAAGCAGGCTCCCTGCTGAGCAGAGAGCCCGATGCGGGACTCGATCCCAGGACCCTGAGATCATGACCTGAGCTGAAGGCAGCGGCTTAACCCACTGGGCCACCCAGGCGCCCCCGGTTTTATTTTCTATATCAAATAATACATTATATATTATTACATATATGTATATATTATATACATATATGTAACATATATTACACATATATGTTACATATATACATACTTATATGTATGTATACATATATACATATGTTACATACTTTATATCAAATATATATAATGTATATTATATATAATATAGTATATTATATTATATATTATATTTATATTTTTATATAACATATAATATATTATTATATAATATGATATATAATAATATATATGTTATATATGTAATACATATATATTATATGTATTACATGTATTTATATTATATTTGTATGTATTTATATATTATATTATATGTATATGTAATTATATGTATTATATGTATATGTATTATGTATATATACATTTATATAAAACCTATCTTGTGGTTGGCTACAACATGTCCAAAGACACCTTGGGCTTTAACTGCAATATTTGAGTGAATTTTGCCTCCTCTGGGCAGCTGCCCCTTCAAGGCAAGCCACAAGGCAAGTGTATTTGTGTGGAGAAGCCCCATGTGCTGGGGCACATGGCATTTGTCCCGAGGGAGGCCCCTGAGAGCACTGTACAAACTGGACCTCTACCTGTGGTGGGCTCTGGGGTCAGACTGCTGGGGTGTATGTCCAGGTCGGCCACCCATAGCCCCGTGGCCTCAGACACGCTGTGAACTCTCTCAGCCTCCGTAAACGGAGAGAGTGAAGGAAAGAACTCGATAGCACTGTTGGAATATTGCGGGAGCCCAGGCACTTTTAGCACTTAGCATGGTGTGTTTGCTCCTATTAATACACCTGCGTTTATCTTAACGTAAAGAAGTCTACCACGCGGTGCTGGAGGCCCGGGAAAGGTAGGTCTCGTTAGCTTGGGGCTTTGGGTAGTGCCTGGCACAAGGCCCTGGGCAATTAACTGCAAGTGAGTTTCTCCCGCTTCTGAAGCCAGGGTGGCTTTCGGCCCTTCCTCTCCTCAGGCTGGAGGAGTAGAGAATAAAGAGTCAGAGCAGCCAGGCATCCCCTCTCCTTTCCCCTTCCTACTTCTTTCCCCAATCTCTCCCCACATCCCGAGGGCGAGCAGAGTAGCAGGCGGGAGAAGGGAAACAGGACCAGGCTGAATGGTCTCAGCAGCACCCGGCTCCCCAGAGGCCGCCGAAGCAGCTCGCTGATGGCTCAGATCCTGGCCAGGGCCCCGAGAGAGCCGAGAGCCGAAATGACGAATAGCCTTGGCTTTCGTTTGGTTTCTTTATGTTGTGGCAGGAGGGAGGACCCTGAGGTGGAAATGCTGCCCCCACTCCCACCTCCAGCCTCCACCCTCTGCCCTGAAATGGTAGTTTCTCCAGATAGCAGGAAAAAAGCTTCCTCCCTGCTCCCAGCCCACTTCCAGACTGGCCACCTGCTCACCCTACAGGGTAGTCCACTCTGGGACTTTTCATGACAAACCGTCTCCTGGGTCCTTTGGGGCTGTGGGGTTTGTGTGAGAGACCGGGGAGCCTGCTTTGCTGATGAGGTCACCGTTCCTTGAGCTATTACCTTGCTTTCCTTGGCCAGAGCAAGCAGCAGGAATGCCTTGGAGCAGTGTTTGTTTGTGAAACATCAAATCCCTGCCTCGTTACGCCCAAGCAGGCCAGCTTGCATCCAGACCCCAATCCCTCAGTAGTTCTTTCGTCTTTAGTCCTGTGGATACAGGTGTTTGTTACCTGCCTCAGAATGATAGGGCTGGAGCTCGGCCAGACAGGATGGGCAGGGGCTAGCTTCCCTCCAGGAGCAGGAGGACATGGGCAGGCCCTGTGCTCTCCTGGGCCAACGTGCTTTGTAGATTTCATTTGCAGTCTAATTTCGCTGGTAGGGAATATGGGCAAGAGGCCAGGGCAGCATTTGGCAGCAAGGGGACATCTAGAGAGGGAGAGCTGTTTGAATTCACAGTGATTTCACTGTGAATTCCTGCCCTCCACTTCCTGCCTGGAGGCCAGTGGCCGTTGGCCGGCACTGAGCTGGCCCGTGGGCAGCCATCTCCGGCTGTAGGCACTGACCCCACAGGCCACACCCGGAGAGCAGGTAGCCTGGGCCCCTGCCAGCCTGGAGTTCTTGCCTGCCAGCTGCTGACGGGCCTGGCCCTGCAGTCTGGCCCCAGGCTCTGCAAACGATTCTATTTTAGGTTGCTGACTAGCTCTTCAGCCCTCATTCCTGTCTTGTGCTTCCTGAGTCACTTCTTGCTCCCTGCTCTGCTTCTTTCTGAATGGATTGGATTAGCATAACACCATATGTTAGAAAAGCAATTCACAATTTATAAAGCCTTTTTGTGCACCAGCTCTCTTCTGATCTTTCATCAGCCTGTTAGGTCCACCATGGAGGTAACTTAATCCATATTTCACAGATGAGCAACAATGGAGGCGCAAAATAACTCAGGCAGTTTGATCAATCACACACACACACACACACACACACACAGAGAGAGAGAGAGAGAGAGAGAAGCATACTGCAAATCATTGTGGAGTTGAATCTTAAGAATCAGGTTTCCAGGGGCGCCTGGGTGGCTCAGTGGGTTAAGCTGCTGCCTTTGGATCAGGTCATGATCTCAGGGTCCTGGGATCAAGTCCCGCATTGGGCTTTCTCCTCGGTGGGGAGCCTGCCTCCTCCTCCTCTCTCTCTCTGCCTGCCTCTCTGCTACCTGTGATCTCTCTCTGTCAAATAAATAACTAAGATCTTAAAAAAAAAAAAAAAAAGAATCAGGCTTCCAGTTTTGAATCTGATGCTCCTACCTACCATCCCACATATCTAGGTATCCACGCTATAGAGCACTGGCAAGGGAGACCCTGCAGAAACACATGCGGTGGCCATTTCTTTTCTTCTTGATGGAGGATGCTTGCTTCAGGGGAGCATTGCACTTTGAATCTGAGGTATCTAAAATACCGATGGGGGATAAGCAGAGCTCTAGACAAAGTAGAGAAAGTAGCCTGAATTTGCTCCTGCATTAGTGTCCTTAATCCCCTCCTTTCACCTCATGTCCAGGTTCCTAAGAAAACTTTTCCTCCATTCCTTGGGGGAATAAAGGATTGAAAACAGTTTACACTGTTAAAAGGGTTATCCTTCCGGACCTTAGCTCACCTTATAATTATGTGGTCTATGCCTCAACTTACAAGACCGGCACACCCAAACTCATTATCTTGTGAAAATGAATTAAGGAAATCTCACTAAAATGGAGTCAGCATGGGGAGCTCTCACACACTTTCACTCTTCATCTATTGCTAATCCAATAGGAAAAGGTGTATTTTGCATGTGGCTCCTACTTGACTACCCCAGCAAGAGAAAGGAAAGCTTTCTTCTTCTCCAGGCAACAGCCCAGCCAGTGAGAGACATACATAACTCAGCCACTGGGAAGCCACTATACTTGAAACCCCCAGTTTACTCCAATGGGCTTGTCCTTTCTAACAGCCCTATCAACCTCCCACTTCCTCTAGAAAAGAGCATTCCTCTACTTTGTTTCCTGGACTTATATATGGTTTTGATGTAGTTTCTCTGTCCTAGATTGCAGTTTTCTGCTAGTCCTTAATAAACCCATATTTGCTAGTAAAATAACTGGCAGTTTTATTTTTAAGGTTATTAGTCTCTGGGAGAGAGTACAAATTTTTAACAACTGGCATAGCATGGGCAGACAACCAATGAGAACAAACCTGAGTCATAGTACTCAGTGGGTCTTGGAGCCCCCCTACCGCTCCATAGTGCTAGGTATTACCTACAGCTGCTGATCCATGGGGAGGTCTGCAAGAGTCCTGGAGCAGGGCTGGGCACCCAGGGCCAAGGAGGGTACTTTGGGGGAACTCTGGGCATTGGCCATTGCCAGCTAGTGCCAAAGCACTCGGACATTTCCACACATGCACCACCATACTTGTGCATGCCATTGTATATTAATACCAATTGTCTTGTTTAATCTTTTCTAGGACCTGAGGAGGAAGATACTACATTTGCTATTCAACAATGGAAGAAACTGAATCCAAGAAACATGCCATCCAACAACTCCTCAGGCTCTTACAGCTAGTGAGTTTCTGGCAGTTAGAGAAATTCGGGGCATGGAGTACTCAAAGTGGGAGGCCCTTTGTGAGACAAAGGTTGAGGAGGGCCTTGAGCAGGCCAAGGGCACCACTGAGGGCTCAGACCCCACCAGATGTCAGGGAGCAGGGGATGGGGAAACAAACACAGAGAAAAGGTATGTGTGTGTGTTGATGCTGACTGGGAAGATGAAAGGGGATGGAGGTAGGCAGACATTGAGAAACTGGGAATAAGCCTGCCCTCATCACAGGTTTGCTGTGGTCAGAGCTAGTCCTGAGAGAAACAAAGAAATCATCTTTATTGTTTGCTTTGCCTCTTGCCCTATATGTGAATATTGTCACCCAGAGAATGTGATCATATTTGGAGGACTATCTGTGGCATTTCATTTTAGAAATAGTGGTGTCGGGGCGCCTGGGTGGTTCAGTGGGTTAAAGCCTCTGCCTTCGGCTCAGATCATGGTCCCAGGGTCCTGGGATCGAGCCCCGCATTGGGCTTTTTGCTCAGCGGGGAGCCTGCTTCCCCCTCTCTCTCTGCCTGCCTCTCTGTCTACTTGTGATCTCTATCTGTCAAATAAATAAATAAAATCTTAAAAAAAAAAAAAAGAAAGAAATAGCGGTGTCTTGTTTATCAGGGGCTGCTGATTAACCGCTGAAGCCTGCCCCCCACACCAAGCCCTTGCAGTTGCCAGGCTGGGTAAACTCCTGAGCTCTGTGGATGGTGATGTGAGCAATGAGCTGGTTCTTGTTGAGGTAGGACCTCTCCCTGAAGAAGGCTGGGGCCCAGGTGGTCAAAGAGCAGGAAACTCAATTAGCTCTTCTGTGGATGGAGTCTGAAATGTTAATCAGCACTTTTCCAGAATTTCAGGAACTTCCCTCACCCCTCCCCTGCTATCTGGGCCTGGGTGGGATTCAGGTCCCTCCTGTTCTTCCTGGAAAAGCACAGACCCTTTTTAGGCTGTCAGGCAAAGGCCTAGCTGCTTGCCCCTTGAGAGGGGAGTTTAACATCATGGTAACCTGTGCTCCAATGGGCTTGCCCAGCACTCGGGATGTATGAAGTCTCCAGGAGTGGCAGCCTTGTGGGAAAAGCTTATGATGTGACGTGGTATGAATCTCTCTACTGGGTTTTCCCAGAGACCCTAACTAGGGGCTAAGAACCAGGCCCAGCTGCCCTATCAATGAGCAAGTCCCATGTCAGTTTTCTCCTGCAGCCACTCTCTTTGACAGCACATGCCTTTTCCCAAACTCTATGCTGCCTCCCAGCAAAGGATATTCATATGTGCAAATCTTGCCCCAAGTCCAGAGTGACCCAAGAAACGCCCCAAATAGAAAACTTTTTTCTAGGCATGCAGCCTATCTATAAAATGAAATCTTTCTTCCTGGGCATGTTGGCAAGGTGTTCACCACAAACCTCTCAACAGAGGCTGACATTTCTTATATTAAACACTAACTGCAATTCCTGAGGATTAGAGTCTCCTCAGGAGATTCATCTTCTTGTGTTTTTCCTTGCTGGTCCCTAGGTCTCTGCCAATTTAGAGTCAGAGACAACACATCACATGATTCCTTTTAAAATTGGGCTCTGGCTGCCGTGGCTCTGCCTACCCACTGCCCATCTGCCTGCTCTGAAGGCAACACAAGGATTGGGAGGGGTGGGGAGACAGCCAGAGAGCACACAAGTAAGAACTGAACTATTTGACTGGACCTGGTCCTAACAGAGGCAATTTTATTACCCTAAATGTCCTGGAAACCCTGGTGCCTTTGGCGCGAGAAGACTCCAGGCTCCGTCATCCTGGACAGCAGTCTGAGCTAGCCTTGGCGCCCTTTTGCAAGTGGCTGTAATGTGAGTCACAGGGGCAGGCTCCAGGGAGGCTGAACAGGAGGTGGGCATGGAGGAAAAAGGCTCTGTCTGCCCTGGCCTCGGGGGAGAGAGGCCAGCAGGCTGGGATGCCCAGTGGGCCCCCTGGGATTTGTGGTAAGGACTGGGGGGTGGGCATTGGGGAGGAGGGTGAGCCCAGAGGGGACAGGTCATGCCAGGCCAAGCCCTGTCAGAAATGGCCCTGGTGTTGACTGTTGGGCAGGGCCCATAATATCAAAACCAGACATTGCCTTAGGATGGAAAGAACATTCTGGATTCTTTCTCACAATCCTTTTCATTTAGGTAAAGGAACAGTGAGGTCCAGATTCGTAATTCTTTCCCTTGGTGAAAGCCTTCTCTCATTCAATGAAGGAGCCTCATACTCTTATGGTGGTTTATTGATGTCACAAACAAAGCATACTTTATTTTTATTTGAATTGGTCAGTTAAAACATTCTATGCAAGGCAAACACTTCATCATGAAATATTTAAATTAAAAATAAATAACTCAGTTCCATCCTACAGAAATCTCCTGCTGCTCCATATAAATGGAGGACATCAGCTATTGACTAAATAAGTTGAAATAAATAGTTTTAGGATACTCTGATTGATAGGTCCAGCATAAATCACCTGCTTTCTTCTTAACTGTGCTCCAGGCCCTGTTATTGGTACTGTGCCGGACTATTAGTCCATTGAGACTAGGCCCTGATTGAAAGAGTACTCGAAGCCCGGATCTCCAAATCATGTTCCAACATGAGGATTGGCTGCTGACCATCTAAAACAATGGCTGAAGGGCAGGGAATCCTAGCAAGATGAAAGCCAAAATCCAGTCCTCTTATCCCTCCATGCCTCCTTACGGTTCACCTGGAGATGCGGAAGCAGGTAACTTAGGAAAAGGTGACACATGGCCAGAGTGGTAGCCTATGAGTAACGGTTGAGACTGGTAACGTGGCCAAATTCCTTATTGTACCAAGACGTGGTGATTTCTGGCTGAGTCTTCGACTCCGTGTCACCATGGAGTGTCTGATTTTGCTAAACAGGTTAGATTAATTTAAGCTTCTGAATTAGAACACAGCCTTCTGGGGGCAGAGTTGAGTCTACGGATGACAGCTATGCAGGACCCATGAGCTGAGGGCCTGCACAGGCCAGCATTCCTAACTGACCACTGCACGCCTGCGTCTCAGACTCTGCCGCCACACGATGCTCCTGGCGGCCTCTGCCAGTCATGTGTGGTTAGCATTTGAGATGAAAATTATTTATTAACCTCGATCTTTCTCTGTGTTTGGAACTATTCTGTGTGAAGGAATAGATACAAACACCAGGCACTGAATCCTGACACCCATGTGGGCCAGGCGCCTTGAGACTAATCATTTAACGGCTTTAAACTGTCATCATTGGAATGGATAAATAAGGACATCTCACTCAGAGTTGTGAGGGAGAATGTATGTAATGTGCTCAGTGTCATGTCTGACGCATGGTAGGCATTTAATAGATGAGAGCTGTTGTATTGTATGATCATTGTAAGTCTATTGATGTTAACTATGGGATTGATGATGACATTTCCATTAAAAGAAGGAAAGCACAATATTATATTATATACTAAGTTGAACCATATGAAACTGATTGGTTGTTTCTGACCTACAGAGAAGACAATTTCTTCAAGGTCAACCTATTTTTAAATCACTTACTTTTTCCAACCTTATCAAATTTTTCCTTTCAAACAGAGAAGGCAATTTCTTCAAGGTCAACCCATTTTTAAATCACTTACTTTTTCCAACCTTATCAAATTTTTCCTTTCAAACATTGCCCCCAGAGTCCTATTCCTACCCCTCCAAACCTTCCTCAAATCAGTTGCTAGAGTGAGCAAAGCAAGGAATCTGGCAGACTTGAGGACCTAGTATCCTGTTCCACTAACTGTCTCTTGTAAGGCCTTGGCTTCGTCATCTGTAGACTGGGTACAATTGTGCTTTCCTTAGCAGGGATAATGGACGGGAAAGCACTTTCAAAAGTTAAAATCATTTTGCCAATGCAAGGTATTATTAATTTCACTAGCCTATGCCACTTCAGAGAACATTAGCATTCAACATTTAATTTTTAATCATGTTTCTCTATAGAAAAGCTGCACGTAAAAGAATAGAGAATTCATGCAATCATGCCAAATGATCAATACTGATCTTGAGAATACTGTGAAATGAATAGTAGAACTATAAGTAAATATATAGTGCTTTGTCTTTAGAAATTATACCTTGTCAAGATGAAATAAATGTGATAAGAGGAATAGTAGGAACCACTGTGTTTACAAGGGCCTCAAACATCAAGCTCTTATATTTTTAACAGAAATCACATACATTAGAACAACTCACAAGGAAGACTGAGGAATTGCCTGCTTCCTTCCCTGGAGGTCTTTAAAATGGGTTGGGAAAGTTTGATTGTGGTGCGATTTTGCTTTAAGATAAGGACAGAGTTTATATCTATCTCCCAAAGCCACTTTCAGACCAATGACTTTATTGGTTCTAAGAAGGCACACTTTTCTTTTGCCTTCCAGGGGAGTCCCTTGCCTGTACCCTAAGCCAGGGCTATTGGTTAATAAGAAATGGTGATGTGTTTGGACCAGCTACTAGCAGAGGTGAATGTGGCTCAGTTCCAATCTGAAGTTTTCTCTCCCATATGCAGTGAACTTTGACCAATGCATGGCCCCTGGGGAGAGTCACCTTTAGTCAGCCTCAAAGGCACTGTTGGTAGCACCCACATATTCAGACTTCTTCTTGTGCCTTGTCCACATTTTCCGGAGGAGGCTAGGGACCCCGCAGGAAGCACTTCCTGTCAGCGGTAGGGAGGCTTCTGCTCCCTGGGGCAGGGTCGGATACTCTTCAGTCATCTTCTTGAGATGTCTAGATCTAAAGAAAAGCCAGGGGGGAGGGAGGACAGTTATTTCACAGAGTCAGACTTTTAATGTTTGCCCTCAACACAACTCTTACTTCTCTTCTGCTCATACATTCTGTGACCAGGATAGAGGGTCACTGTTGGGACACATATACAGGTGACTTCTTTTGGAGGATCCTCACATGGGGTGAGGGAAGGAGGTGGTTCTGGGCACAGTGGTTCATAGATCTCAAGCTCTGCTCATGTCCCAAGTTCTCCTTTCCCACCCATTCCACTTATAGACCAACAATCTTGATGGAAAGGGCAAGCTTCCCAAAGCCTTAAGCTGTTGAAAAAGTTTGTGTCCTAGGGGTACATGTGGCTGCTCACTGACTGGCCTCAGGCAAGTGACTTAATCTCAGCCAGCCTCAGTTTCCTCATGTACAAAAGGGGGATAATTTCATCAAACTCACAGGACTTGTGAGGAGGAGAATGAGCTAATAAAGCATTGGGCTCCCTGTAGACCTCCATGAATGTTTATCTTTCTCCTCACTTCCTCCTCCTAGGTGAAAGAAATGGCCTTCGTTTTCAAAAGCCAGCCTCCAGGAACACATGGAAATGAGGACATCTGAGCTCAGAGAGAAAGGAACCATGGAGAACCTTCTGGACACAGCTTTATGGAGCAGAAATGTTGGTCTTTTTAGCTCAGCAGGTTGTTGTGGGCTTACTCCAACTTCCAGCAACAGCTACTGCTGCTCAGGACCATTTGAACTAGACCTTCAAACAATCCATGTGCCTTTCTGATTTTTCTCCAGTTAGGTCCCAGTACATTGAGTGACTTGGTTTTTATAATTCTTTCTAGATGATTTTCTTTTATCTAGAAGAGCTTCATATTGGTTGCTTCCTCCTTGGACTCCCAAGCTTCCAAGGTGTACACACTTGGGTTGATATTTTAGCCCATGGTCCTTCCAGTGTACACATCTCACATGCTCCCAAGAATGTGTCTTTTCAACTGCTAGATTGTAGGTTTCTTGAAAAATAAAACAGTCAGAGTTTGTGCTAAGTTCTTCACGTATCATCCCATTCTGTTCTCACAATAATCCCTCAAGAGGGGTATTAGGATCATCCCCATTTTTTTGTTTTTGTTTTGAAATAAGTGAGGGCATGGAGGTTACGATAACTTGCCTAAAGTCATAGCGGGTTAGTGGTGGCCCTGGGCAAGCAAGAAGCTGGGAGTCAAGAGCCCACACCCTTCATTACCCCTTAAGCCACTTTTCTACTATGTGTGGTATGGACGATCGTGGCGGGGCATCAATGTAAATGTTGACTTGAGTTTCAGACACCTGCTTGCCATTTTCTTAGTGCAACCCTGAAGGCAGTGAGAGAATTGCTGGGGTGGGGAGGAGACTATCTACTCTCCTGCTACTCTCGCTGCTGGTTCTGGATCAGAGTTAACAATAACACGGGGGTTAATACATTTGGTTTGAAACTTTGGTATCTTACATATTTCTTTACCTTTGGGCCGGGGCCCTTCACCTAATTCATGAGACATTTCTGATACCACTGTGCCTACAGGGAGGCTCAGAATGCGACCTGTGATTACATTTATCTAATTAACCAAAAACTCTCCCAAATGACACTTCTCCAAGTCTAAAGAGTGGTGTTAATGAAGTGGAAACCATCAAAAACACTTCAGCTTAATCCTAGGGAAACAGTTGATGAGGCGCCACAGAGACCCAGGATTATTGCCCTCATTAAAAGGTAATTTAAAGCTGGCATGGGTTTTGTGTTAACATCTTGAGTGTCTGTAAGCTGGGCCACCTGTTACTCTCGTGTGACAGGACCAGGAGTGGGTGGGGAGCCCTGGCACTTACCCTCGCGTCAGAACAGCTCCCTTCTCCGAGGCTGTGGCCGCCGCCTCAAGCACGCTGGGGGCTTTCACTGAGATCCGGGCCACCGGAGGAATCTGCGTGGTGCAGAAGGGGAAGGGAAGGTGAGGATGTGGCCATAATCCCAACGCTGGCATTGACCGGAGCCAGCTGAAAGGGGGATGGCTCCGTCAATCCACCACCCAATAGGCAATAGTCTTCATGCTTTGACTGGCATCGAGACTCCCCTAAGGGGCTGGTCACCACCGTGCGTGGCCTACCCCAGTTTCTAATCCAATAGGTCTGACATGGGCCTGAAAATCTGCATTTCTAACAAGTTCCTGGGTGCTGCCAGTCCCAGGACGCCACATTGAGAACCACTGACCCAGAGAACTTGAGAGAGAGAGAGCACAACTCAGTTTTACCTGAAAACTCTGTCCCCCGCCCCCACCCCCATTACCTGTGTCTACTTTGTTGTCAAATCCTGCAGATTCATGCTTTGAAAGACTGCCTTAGGTAGTGCCATCCTCCCCCATCTCCTCTGCCACACGCAGCCTTCCGATCCAGTCACCTGGGAACTCCTTGCTTTGGACCAGCCCCACCAATGACTCCAGCCCCGCTGGATTTGAAGTGCCTCCCCACTGCAGGCCAGACTGAGGCCAACTCTGGAAGCACAGGCTCCTCAGAACCCAGCTCTCCCTCATCTATGCAGCTCTACCTCTGTTAATCCCCCGTGGGTACCGTGACAGCTCCCATCCCAGTATGGCTGGTCCTGCCTCCCCTCCTGCTCACGCTCATTCCCATGCTCAGCAAAGCTTTTCCTCATGCACATGAACAGCTCTGCATCTTCCTTCGGCTTTTCCTTCATCCTCTGGACAGAGCCTCGATTCTGCCTGCCCTTCGGGGCCACTTCTTCCTGGAGGCCTTTCCTCAGGCTGGTGGCCTGAGTTGATTTCTCTCAGTCCTCATGCCCCATGTCCCCACAGTACTGAGTACCTATGTGACATATTTCGGCATTTCCCCAGTTTTTTCTATGGTTCTCTTGTTGTTTCATAGGCTCCCAGTTCTCAGAAAAGTACTACGATGTGTGTCAGGGTCTGGCACTTAATCCCTTTGGTGGTGCTCTGCAGCCTTCCTAAAGGAGATGGTGAGTGCTCAAGAAGCATGATGACCTAACGAGGGTTAAATCCAGAATTGGCTTAGTCAACAGGCATATGCTATGCTTTGTTCCTTCACCCCAACCCCACTGAAGGCTTAGGGTCACCACATTCTTGGAATTGCTGGGAAATTCCAGGTCATGAACATCATGATTAACTGTCCCCTTTTCTCCCTAGCTGGCCAAATGTTGTGGGCAGAGTTACTGTGCCACCTTGTGGCCTCTCGGGAGCTCTCCCTCCCCATCATGCCAACAGCCCAGCCCTGGGAACATACACGGCCTCTCCTTCTCCACTGTCCTCAGTCCTCCACCAGTGCGTTGCAGCACTGAGTCAGAATTAGCTGTACGAGCTCTGACTCATTCTTCCACCCTGGGATAAGGGGCCTCCGATCAGCTGCAGGACCCCTGCTTCACTGTCTCAGGCTCAGGGGAAAGAGTCAGTCCTGCTGCCTTTCTTCTTCATGGTCCCCATGCCCTCTTCTTCATGGTCCCCATGACCATCCTGTCCCATCGCAACTCCTTCTGGTCTCCCAGAAGCAGTTCTCTGCCAAGGCTACTATGTGAGCCCAGCCCAGCGGCTTGGAGCAGGTAATCCAAGGATGTGAGCCACCCTCTTCCCCTTAACTTTGGTCTTCTTCTGACCATAGCTAAGGGCAGCTCTTTGAGCTGTCACAGCCTGGAAATCTGTGGCAATGGCCCAGCCATCCTCAGTTTCTCTTGAGGACTAGGTTGGGGCAGAGGGCTCCTGATAAAACAGATTGACCCATCTCTCCTCTTTCTGTGGTTCTCCTAGTACAGGGATGACCTAAATGAGGTATTTGGATTAGATTTTCTGCTCAGACAGGGAGCAGAGGGCTCACTGTCCAGTTTGTTCCAGAAGAATGAGGGGGCTGGCCCACACAATCTCCAGGGTCTTTTCTAGTCCTCACCTGGCACGATCCACCCATCTGGGGAACTGCTGCTCACAGAGCCCAGGGTGCCTGAGCTGACCTCATCTCTAGCCACGATTCCACCTCTACTGTGCAATCCTAAAGGGTACCCACATTCATGCCCAGAAGAAGATGCAGGAGATTTTTTTCCCCAGAGGGACCCTGAGCTATATCTGGATGTGCACCCCCTGATCTGTCTTCAAAGAAGGACAAGCTGCCACCATGGGGGCAGCTCATGTACCATAATGGAGCAAGGAGGAAACAAAGGCTTGGCCATTTGGGCCCAACTTGGGACAAGGGGGAGGGGTAGCAATGGCCCCAGAACTTCCGCCAGGAGGTATCCGGTGTGCATGGCAGTTCAGCCTCCTAGCAATCTGAACTCCCTCCTCCTGTCACAGGTACTGATCCCTAATACAAATCTCATACCCCCTACCCTGCTTCTCAGAGTCTGCCTCCAGAGAACCCAACTGGGAACAGATGTCCTCCAGAGGTGTCCTGGGTGCAGATGCCTGGTGTTTCATGTTTTCACAACATTTAAGACCCTTGACAGGCAGCTCTTGACCCTCTTAGCTGCCCATGGGAATTAGTCGGGCGTGTCCACCTGGCATGGGCCTACCACAGAAACCACTTCTTTTTCCCTGTGTTTGAGATGTCCCCTAGGCAACACCTTTTTCTGTTTGCCTGAGGGCTGAATTTCTGGCGAGAAAGAGAACACCATCCAGTGGTGTGCTGTGAGCTGACTGACACTGGGAGCCGAAAACCTGCAGGTAGGCTTTTCTAATAATCTTCAGGGCTGCAACAAAGGACAGGGTGAGGAGTTTAAAGCACAACATGGAGAACTAACCAGGCTTATTTTACTTACCAAAGACTTTCCATATGCTCGATTCCCACACAGATTGGATGATTTGGGTTCCGAACTCCCCACTGCAAGGTTGAACAGAGGAGGCATTACTCAGTGGTACTCTGTGTTCCACTTCCCCCCCGCTTCTGCGTCAATGATCTCATTAGCTAATCAGTCACAAGCTGGGAATTTCTAAAGGCCTTTGCGCCAAGCAGCAAGATTGGGCAGGAGGGTCAGGCAACGGGACAACTGTCGAGTGGGTCACCTGCATCCCTGGCACTCTTCCAGGTGTGGGCTGGGTGGGGAGGGTATAACTAAGGTCTAAGAAGATCATGTGTGTGGAAGCATTTAGTAGTATGTCTGCGGGCAGTACGTGCTCAGAGAATGTGCCCTTAGCTTGTCCTTCCTTCCTAAGGTGCCACATCACAAGAGGTTATCAGGAGTTTAGTCTTTACTGCCGGGATCGATTTAGCTTGCTAAATCTGTGCAGTCCTCTCTGGAAATGAGCAGAGAAGCCCGCCTGCGGTGGGAGGCCCAGCTTCATGATGTGCGAGTGTTGGAGATTATCAGAGTCCTGAGATACTGGCTACACAGGACTTACGTGAGAACCTTCTTGCTATGCCTTTATTCCTGAAGCCCAACCTACTTCTGAGTAATCTCTACCCTGAAGTCTTAGCTTCTGAGAATCCAGGTGTTGAGCTGAGGGAGCTGGCAATAAGTAGGGGAAAGTTGGCTTTCAATCTACTCCTCTCCTTGGGCAGACATTCCAGAACAAGCCCCATCCTATCACACTATAAAAATAGAGATAAAACACTCCCCAACCCAAGGAAGAAAACATTTCAATGCTAATAAAATGAAGTTAAAGACTACCAAGATTGAATCATAACTTATAGTGTATAAGTAATAATAGCAGCTCAGAGTTTTGAGTATTTACTGTGTCAGGTACTGTGCTGACTATAAAACACATAGACATTATCTCATTTAACACTTACCATAACCTTGTTAGGTAGGTATCATAATAGTCCTCACTTTCCAGATGAGGAAATCGAGGCCTCGGAGATACATTACAGAGGAAGCCAGGTAAGGATGATCTAGGGAATGGCAAACTGCTTTGGGGGACTTGCAGGGCTGGAGAAACGTGACTAAGGGACACCCTAACCCATTATGGGAGGTATTTGCCAGGTAGAGACAGGGAGGACAATCTGCAGAAAGAAGAGGGTCTGGGAAGTTCCCGGAAATAGAATATAATGGCTCAGTCCCAGAATTGCACTGCAGCTCAGGGTTTCTGTGTATGTGGATGGGTGGGGACAGGAGTGTGTCACAGGAGGTGGCCCTGGAGAGGCCAGCAGAGAACAGATTCTGGGGGGCTTGAACATGGTCTGGAGGGCAGTGGGGGTAGGAAGGACACTGGAGCAGAAGGATGGCAGAGGCAGATTTCTGCTTTAGACAGACCCCTCTGGTAACCTTGTAAAGGAAAGAAGGACTACTGGCTGAGGGCCAGGCTTGGAGGCTACACACCAGAGATGAATTGGGTCTGAGCCCAGGTAGCCTGAGGTAGGTACCAAGAGGGAGAGATGAGACATATACAGGAGTTGACATTGTCAGTGTTTAGTATGTGACATGGTGGGTGGAGTGGGGATAGGGAGGACAAGAGGGTGTTAAGGAAAATAACCCTGCTGAGAAAGGAAGGGATTCATTCCATTTGAACAAGTTGGTTCTGAGGTGCCCGAGGACATCTTGGTGGAGACATTCCATAGGTGGCGAATTCTCCAGGGCCTAGGAGGTGGTTGTCCCCATTCCAGGCATTTGAGGCTCACATGCTCAGGGCCTCATGGTGAGAGAGTTTCTTAGCTGGGTCTCTGCCTTCAGAGTCCCTGCAATTTCCAAGATTCCTCAGAGAATCTTTCTCCCACATGAGAAAGCTACATCATCCAGGAGCCTTCTCCTACAGCTCAGAAAAGAAGCAAGCTGCCAGATCTGAGATCTCTGGAGACACACATCCTTCTGATGGGAGGATGGAAGACTCAGTGCCTCAGCCTTTCCCGTGGAAAGCACTGGGTCTGGCTTTGACTCAGAAACCCTCTGTCATTCCCCAACCCCCTCTGGAATCTATCAGATTGGGGGAGATGAAGAAATTGAATCAATGCCCAGCTCAATCTTTTTTTTTTTTTTTTTAACCTGACTAGCACATTCCCTGCATGAGCTGACTGTCACATGTTGGGCAGATTCTCTCCATTTCATTACTTACTGTTCTCTTAGAGAATAAAAGTCTGACTTGGACAGTCAAGCTTCCACAAGCTACTTAGGAAGGAAAGCGACCCCTAAAGCTAGATGGTTGAGAAGACCTTTTTTTCTGGGGGTGGGGGATGGAGGCATTGACTAGCAAATTAGAAGAACTAAGATTTAATTTCAGTTTTTGTTGCTAATAAGCAGTGTGACTTTGGTCACACATAAACAGCCTCTATGGTTTCAGTTTCCTTTTCTATAAATGAGCATGGGGTGCTGCAGACCAGGGGTCCTCTCCCTTCAGTGTGCATTAGAATCACCCGGGGTTGTTAAATCAGAGGTTGCTGGGCCCCACCCTAGAATTTGATTCAATAGGTCTCAGGTGGGACCCCACATTTACATTTCCAGCAAGTTCCCAGGTGATTCTGCTGCTCTGGGGACCCCCACTGTGAGAACTACCCATTTGACTGGTCCCTAAATCCTTGTTAATCAATATGTTATCCTCAGACCAACACCATCAACATCATCCAGAAGCTTTTTAGAAACATAAAATCTGGGGCCCTACTCAGTCCTACCGAGTTAGAATCTGCATGAAAACAAGATTCCCAGGTGATTCTTTTGCACATTGAAATTTGAGAAACATGGCTGTAAATCCAGTTTATCTTTTTGTAGCAAAGATATTCTTTTTCCCTTTCTACACACATATGTACCCACCCACCCACCTATATATAGACACAGAGAAAAATTTATCTCCTCTTAATTTGCAAGGCAGATTGTGGTTTTCCTAATGCTTTCACTCTACATATGTGTATATGTAATCACTTAGCTAGAGAGTATAGCTTGATTTATGCGTTATTATACATCGGATCATAAAAACAGGATCAGGGTGTTACTGATCAAGGAAACCTTAGAGATCCAGTTGAGCATCTATGAAGAAGGTGAGAAGATAGAAGATTGAAGAGATATACTTGATGAAGTATAATTTCGGTTCTTACAACATACAAAGTTGTTGACACCCAAATGCCTTGAGAAGGACATCCCAAACTTTCTGTTGTGCATTTTAGGAGTTAAAATATGAATGACTTTAGGCTGTGGACATAACAGAAATAACTTAAAGCAGCAATTAAAGGCAAAATACCATCACAGACTCCAGAGGGCTAGGCGCAGATTCCTGTTGAACTACTTGTGGTAGGGGCCATTTTTAAAAAATAGTGCTGAAGTTAAGTCTATAATGTTTCCAGTTTTTAAAGCAAATTTGTCCCTAAATTCTTTTTAGATATTGTTCAAATAGCCCTAAGTCATTCACATTTACAGTGGTGAGATCTTAAGCTGGCAGTTTATAAAGAGCCTATATAATTACAAACACGGCCTGTAAAATAAATAAGGTAAGCTTCTGTTTGTCCATGAGTCATGCCTACACTAGCTTTCGCTCCCCCAGAACATAATGATTTTCATCTCTGGAACCCAGCAGGGCTTCCTGGGGAGCAAGATGGCAAGTGGAAAGCATCTCTGCCCGCCCAGGGTATTTTTCAGGCGGGTGTTCTGTGTTGCTCTGTAGGTGGGGCCCGAGAGCAGGTGCACTCAGCGCAGGGGCGGCCCGCGCCAAGAATGGGAGGAGGCGGGGGAGGAGCGGGGGAGGAGGCGAGGGAGGAGCGCGGGAAGCGGACAGCCCTCGGCACAGCACCTGCGCTTCCCCGGCGCGGTGGAAGACGCCGGGGAGGAGCGTGAGGTTGTTGGAAAAGACAAGCCCCGTCTCCTGCCTTGCGGCGTCTGGTCTAACCGCGTCGCTGAGTCCCAAAGGGAGGTTCCAGGGACTTGAACCAGGGCGCACGTACCGGGTCTGGCCGGGGCCTTGGCAAGGTGGGGTCCCTGCGGCCGCGCGCCGTGGAGCCGGCCGGACCTACGGCCCTCGCCGTCGCGGCGGTCGCTGCGGTGTGGCAGCAGCTCCAGAGGCCGGGGCGTGTAGAGGTCCGACTCGATCACCACCTGCCGGGAGGAGGAAGGACAGTCAGCTTGTTCCTCTCCCGGATCTTTAGATGCACCTCGGGCCGATAGGGCATTGCTGGAGTTTTCCTGACGCCAGAGAATGCTAGCAGCAGTGAGACAACTTGGGTTAACTGGCCTCCGACAGTCAACCGCTTTTACTGAATTTCAGCAGGCCAAATGGTGCCATGGTGCAAGAAGATGAGGGTCCCCGGGGTTCCTCACCAGCACCCCGTTCACAGAGTCAGGAGCCTGGCTGGGTCTTCGGGCCAGACCTGTCACCCACCCTGGGGCCTTACATGGTTTGGCAACAGAACAGGCTGTTTGGAATGATGACAGTTTTGGAAATCAGGGTCATAACAGTCTTTGTGAGAAGCAGACACCCTGTTCAAACAGAGGACAGTTTTTTGAATGCTCTAGCAGAGGGAAGAGCTAGGGACAGGACTTGGGGCCCAACCAAGTCCCAGGTTTTAAAAAGAAGAAAACTACTGGCACAGTTCCACATGCTTATACTTCCTTCACCTTGCAGAACGCCTGTGTGAGGTGGAGCTGGGAGATGAATTTCCACTACACATGGTTTCCTAAGTGGAAATTCCCCAAAACCAGTCAGAATGCTAAGACCTAAGGTGTTTTCAGTAATGATCACCTGCTGAATAGTTATCTGGGCAAGTAGAGTAAGAGGAAATACCCCTTTTGTCAGGACCCAATGAAATAGGCCTTAAAAGTTATAATAAACATACTCAAATCGTTGAAATAATTTAAATGTAAAAAACTTGAGACAAAGCCGTATTTTATCTTAATACTGGGAATGATGAAGGATATCAGTGGGTTTTGGCTCCTATCCTGCATATTTTTATACATATCCAGGACATTGGGGTCATCCATTCTGAATTTCTTCACTCCTTTAAATCTGGTTAGAATGTTCAATAGTGCACGGCAGCTGCTCTGGGGTCTACACTGACTCATTCGTTTGCTCCTTCATCAGATGCCCTGTGAAGGCACGTTCCGTACCAGGTCCTGGGCACTGGGCACATCTGCAAGTTAGGTGGACCTCCCCGAGCCTTGGACGGATCCCCCTCACTTGTCCACATAGAACAGTGGTGTTGCTTTTGGAGGATGCTGAAGCAAATAAAACTAAATTTTTAAAAGTTATAATAGGGTGATATTTCGATTTAGCGGAGAAAAATTGGATCTTTAATACTGTTACAATAAATGCCAGGTCACTGGGGGAAATGGATCTGTGTTCACATGTGTTACACCAAAATAAATACCAGACAGATCCAAGATACATGTTGAAAACAAAACACACAAGAATTGAACGTGGCTCAATATAACATTTGTTACACATGAAGGGGAATGATCCCTATGTACATAGAAACCTAAAAATCAATAAAGAAGAAGAAAACAAGAGAAAAAGAGAGCAAAAACCAGAAGCTGGCCATTGACAATAGAAACGCAACTGGTAAACGTAACACCACAAACATGAAAAGATGTTGAACAGTCATTAAGTGAAAGTGAAAACAAAGTTGTTGTTTTTTTCTCTTCTCAGATTGTCCGTGATGAAGAAGGTAACTCCATTTGTGGTCACGCCCCAGCCTTGACAATTAGTGGTTCCGTGGAAAGGAGATATTCTTGCGTGTCCTTGCTCTGTTGGGGCGGAGTAAATGCCTATCATCTGTAGAGGTTTTGGTAATAGAGCATGCTCTCTATCTTCAAGCCACATATTTATCTACAGAATCAGAGAGCAGTTCATGTCTCCTGAAGAGAAAACTAGAAGCTGTCACTCTTCCCTTCAGTTTACCACAAAGAGTCCTTTGCTCAGAAAACTAATATATACCTAATTTGGCCTTATCTGGGTTAGGAAATTAACTCCTCTCAAGCCCATTTTAGGGCCCAGAACCATTCATCCTGTGGCTTTGGGGAAAGCTGATCACTCAGAAACATGGAGGATTAGTACCTTTTCTTCTCTGGGCACTGCAGGAGGTGGTTCCTTCCCAATAATTTAAAATATGTTCCTTTTTCCTCCCAGCTATATCATATGTCCACTGACATATGATTTGGTAAGGTGTACAATGGGTTGATTTGATCCATTTATAAGCTGTGGTATGTTTAGAAGGTGGTGGTTCCGTTAGGCTGGGGGCAGCCCTGGGCCCACCCTGTACCAGCTCAGTGGGTGGTCCAGCATTGACTGTCCAGTCTCCTCTGCTCTCCTCTTTACCTACCTCCCTTCCCCTTGGCCCCTTGCTCTGCCATGGTGTTGCCCAGAATACTGGAATTTCCTATATTAATGGTGGTTCAGAGCCACGTACGTTCCCCTGGACGTGTAATATTTGGCCTAAGGGCTCTCCCCTGGAACATGACCCTCCAGGTTGAATAAGAGACTCCTGAGCCTCATTACTGACACAGCTGTCACAGATGTTTCTGATTTTATTTTCACTCTGTCAGCATTCTTCTTAGTAAGGAGGAGTGAGACTGGTATGTTTTCAGACCTACTTTGTACAAGGAGAAAGCAAAGCAGGTAAAGAAAGCCTGTGGAGTCCATGAGGGAAACCCAGCATTTCCTCCTCTGAAAGGGAAGCAAACGTTCCCTTTCAGGAACAAGAAACTCCACCTCTGCAAGCAATCGCTTCTCTGCACTGTGGTGCGGGAGAAGAGAACGGGGAGGGAGGGAGCCCAGAGGTTAGCTGCTCAACCCTCTGCTGGAGGTAGGAGCTCCCAGGGGACAGGGATGAAGTTGGTTACTTCCCAAGTCATGACTTAGGGCCAGGTGCCTCTTCTGGGTGTCTTCTCCAGGCCCCAAAGGATGCCAATAACGGATGCCAATAACATGAAAGAGGAGAGGTGCCCAGTTCAGAAGAGTGCCCTTTCTTAGCTGGTCTTGTACTTGGTTCTCATTTCCCACAGTAACAGAGGCTCTGAGAGGGCTCCGGGGGAGCACATTTGGCTCTCACCAGGAAATGGGCAGCTGAATAGATGGCTGTGGCCTCCTGAAAACCTGGGTTATTTTCTGGTCTCTAGGACATGGTTTGGGGTGGCTACTGCTGGTCTTAGAATAAACTGGTCTGAGAGCAGGTTCTTTAGTATCCCCCCTCCCCCCGCACTCCCGGTACAGGGGTAAGACTGGGGAATGGGGAGAAGGAAAGGAGAGGCAGGTTTGGTGTTGGATTTGCCTTTCCTTTCCTAGTCCGCAAACTGCCTTCTGAAAGTAGGGGGGATGTACTAGAGCAATACGCTGATGTTCCCCTGCTGGTCTTGGGTCAGAGATTAGAAGAACAGAAGTCATGGGCTAACACTCAAGCCTTAGGATTCCATCCACTGACATCTTCAAGTCTCACTTCTGTTTGTTCACCAGCCTAGGGGGCTGGTAGGGGGCTGGAAAGACAGGTGAGACCTAGGTGATGGAGAATGATCATGATTTAGGGCTGATGGGATCCATAGCAATGTTCTAGCCCAACTCCCTAATTTTGCACATAGAGAAACTGAGTCCAAGAGAGATCATGAGTCTTCAGGGTCACAGAGTTATAAGGCGCAGAGCCAGGATAAGAGTTGTGGTTTTATGACTTCTGGGTGAGCGCTCTTTATAAGACCCAGAGAAGTGCCTACATCCAGATAAGAAATTTCAAGTGCAATCAATCACTCAGGACATTTTGAAAAATCAGTAAATTTGCAGGCCAAGTTCTCTCTGATAAGGTTGAGCTCTGGGGAGAATGTGACGTTTACAATCTAATTTTTCCATCTTTCCTGGTAGTGGTATCACTGCTCATTGTGATGAGGCTGGGGAATCAGTGGCCCCTGGGGGGTCCTGACTCTCTATCTTAGTGATGCTGGGGCACTAAGATGGTTTAGAGAGAGGAGATCTTTGTAAAGGAGGGAACCTGACTCCACATGGTAGCCCAAGGACAACAGACACAAATAAGAATTTCAGGACAAAGAAAATTCAAAACCTTGGTAGATTTAAGCAGTTACAAAATGTGAATGTTTTCCTTGGGAACTCAAAGGCAGCCAAGAGCCAGTCAGATGAGGAAGCAAATAATCAGAGATAGTTCTTTCTTTAGGACTTACTTCCTTCATCTTAGGTAGACTAAGACCTTTCTTGTCTTTTCTAATTTGAATGTTCTGTACAGCTGACATTGAGGTTTGCAAACAAAGGATGAGTCAGGATGTTAGGGGAAATGAGAAATTTAGAGGTGAGCTCAAAAACCAGAGGGCATTATTAAGTTGTCTCACCTGGAGGAAGACTGCATAGTTGAAGACAAGATCCAGCTTCTAATTTTTTTTAAATCAAAAGCAAATTTTAATATGTATTCATATACTTGAGTCATTTTTTTTTCTCTGAGTAAAAATATTTTGGAGAGGGAAAGTCATAAACCATAAACATAACTGTCTTTCTCAAAAATTTCCACTCCCAGGAAACCTGAGAGCTTGGTTCTGCAGGGCTGGCTGAAGTCAAGTGGCTTTCCAGAAAGCTGTCTCCACTGAGAGTTGTCTTCTTTATTAAGGTTTGAAACCTCCTGAGGATTTCCTCCCTAGAACCTATTAATTATTAGTAAGTGTGGTGATTTAGTTTCCATTTTAAAAGCTTTTGTAAACACTGCTCTGTCCTTACAAAGCCAGCAGATACAGGTATTAGGAGTGATTCAGACAGTAACATTGTTTAAGGTTAGAAATTCAAGGAAAGAAAGTGGTGGGGAACTAAATATTCCCAATTCCCAAGGGATCTTTCCAGAGTCATGAATGACTTGTGGTTCCTTCAAATCCAGAGTAATGCCAAACTCAAGCCCCTTGACCAAAAAGTCTTTTGTGAAACTTCCCTTAAACTGGAAATGACCTACAAACAACCCCTTCCCTTTACACTTTTTAAAAGATTTATTTATTTACTTTAGAGCCCAAGTGTGAATGGAGGGAGGGACAAAAGGGAGAGGGAAAGAATGAGACTCCTCAAGCAGCCTCCCCTTTAGAGCCCAAGTGTGAATGGAGGGAGGGACAAAAGGGAGAGGGAGAGAATGAGACTCCTCAAGCAGCCTCCCCACTGAGCACAGAGCCTGAGGCGGGCCTCAATCCCACAAACCCAAGATAATGATCTGAACCGAAATCAAGAGTTGCCTGCTGGAGGGACTGAGTCACCCAGGTGCCCCTCCCTTTCTATTTTTGGTTACACCCACTCCTTGAAAATCAGGAGCATATTTCTTTTAGATTGTGGGCTTGAGTTTTCAGGGATGAGGAGAAAGGTAAGAATCTCTTGCCCTACCACAAAGAAATTTTCCATCCATTCAAAGTCCTTTTCTTTCCTCCTTTTTTTTTTTTTTCTGGTATGTTTTTAAGTAGACTTCATGCCTAGCACAGAGCCCAAGGCAGCGGCTAAACTCATGATCCTGAGATCAAGCCCCGAGCTGAAATCAAGAGTCGGATGTTTAACTAACTGCACCACCCAGACACTCCCCTTGTCTTCCTTAATATAAAATATTCCCAAAAGTCATTAAAAAATACATACGACAACAGAAAAATGTGCAAAAGACATGAATTAGGAACATAGAGAGAAAAAAAAATCAAAATTCCTGAAAAGATGAAGAATGATATTAATAATTAAATAAATGCAAATTAAAATGAGATACCTTCACCTATCAGATTGTCAAAGACTAACAACATTGATGACATACAGTATTGACTTAGGTGTTTTGGTAAAGGTACTTTAAAACACAGTTGCTAAGAATTTGACAATGGCTATAAATTTTTTTTCAACATTCATATCCTTTGAGCATTTGAGCATTTTCTTTTTTTAATTACGATATAATTGACATATAACATTAAGGAGTACAATGTGTTGATTTCATGACCAAGCATTTTCATATCTGTGACTTCATCCTCAAAAACATTTGCATAAGAGCATGAAAAATATGTTCAAGGATATTGCTTGTGGCATTGTTTAGTAGAATTTGGTTAAATATTCTAGAAAACTTCAGATGTGATTTGGGAAGAAAATTATAGTACATTCATATAATAGCATGATATGCAGCCTTTATAAAGAATGGGGTAGATCTATAAGAATTAACTGACATGTAAAAAGATTCAATATTTATAGATTAGTGAAAAAAGCAAATTGCAAAATGGTATGTTATCGAGCAATGGAACATAATAATGATATGTTGGTATATGGGAAATTTTCACTTAAAAAGCACCAACATTCATTGAATACTGGGTGTGTGTCAGGCTCTGGACTAAGCACTTTACATGTATTAAATCATTTGTTCTCCAGTGGTTCTTGAGATATGTGCTCCTATTATTCCCATTTGAATACTAAAGAAGTTGAATCCCAGTATGGTGGGCAACTTGTTCAAGGTTACCTAGCTAGAAATGGATAGAACTGGAATTTATGTCTAGGCAGTTGGACTCTAAGTCTACATACCTGCCTGTTATGTTCCACAGCTTCTTAGAATTTTCTGTTATTATATTTTTTATGTTCATAGTATTTGAAATTCTATAATAGGCACACACTACTTTGGGAATTAAAAAAAGTAATGTTTGTAAAAATAACAATGACTAGGGGCGCCTGGGTGGCTCAGTGGGTTAAAGCCTCTGCCTTCGGCTCCGTTCATGTTCCCAGGGTCCTGGAATCAAGCCCTGCATCGGGCTCTCTGCTTAGCAGGGAGCCTGCTTCCTCCCCTCTCTCTCTCTGCCCGCCTCTCTTGCCTACTTGTGATCTCTTTGTCTTCAAATAAATAAACAAAATCTTAAAAAAAAAATGAGAATGACTAAAACTCCACCTCATTCCCAGGACACTGAAGAAAAAAATTCATTTTAATGGAGAATGGGCCTTCAAAAATTGACATACTTAGAAAATCAAAATGGTGTTCCTTGAAAAATTGTGATAGAAATAGAAACTCCAGCATAACCAAGAGGAAACAATCAGCAGTAAACCTTTCCAGAGAAAGTACAAAGATGGACTGACAGCTTTTGTATAAAGAAATCTGTAAGTAAAATGAGAAATTCACAGCATCCTTTGGCTCCAATGACATGTAAACTAATTTTAAGGTAATGCAAGTGCTTATTAGAGTAGCAAAAGATAATGTAGAAAAATGAAAGTCAGTGAGGCTGGAGGTAAATGGAAAAACATTGCTGGAAGCCTGGAAACTGTTTAGAATTCCTGGTAATATGTGACAAAGTTGTAAGCAGAAACCATTTTTTAAAAAATCACTATTCTCCACATCTAGCATAGTGTCTCTTATGTAGTAGGAATGAAACTATTGGATGGATGAATGGATCAATGGATAGATGAAACTATTCTTAACCTTCTACTTATTAATTTACCATGGAATTAATTCAAAAGAATAGTATTTTGTTCAAATTAATTGCAATGCTATTTATAATAGTGAAAAAATAGAACATCACAAATGCCAGCAACAGGAGAACACCTAAGTCAGGAATGCTATACTCATCGTGGACTCTGTTTAAATAAGAACAATTTTTTTAGAGAATGAGATTTACTCTATGCGTCTAGGGAAAATGTCAGAATAGGGGAGTCCGATTCAGGGCTTTTTGCTGTCTGGTAGACATTTGTCAATTATTTTGGTGAAATGGAAGACAGGAAATTGAGCAGCAGCCACATGTCATAGAGAAAAACTTCCTCGCTATTGAGAGCTGGGGAGAGGAAGTGAAGAAGTTAGATGCTGCTTTTGTAATGGAAACCAATAAAAGTGATCAAAATTGAAGTTGTCCTTACATTCTTGGTCAAGAGGTGTTGAGAGCTTTTGACTCTTCTTCTGGCTGGACTGGACACTGCAAAGAGAGAGATAGGAAAGGTTTTAGAGAACACAGGTTGAGGCTGATGTAGCCTCAGAGTGGGTTTGCCCCTGGAGTGGGGAAGGGCGCAGAGGAGGGGAGGTGGAGAGAATAATCAGGGTGTAATTACAATTTTAGATGTTACTTGGCTGAGTGCACCAAAGTTCATAGCAGCATTATGCACAACAGCTAAAAGGTGGAGACAACCCAAATGTCCAACTAAAAGATGAGTGGGTTAACAGAATGTGCTATATGCATACAATGGAATATCATTCACCCTTAAAAAGAAATTAAATTCTGATACATGTGGTAACATGGATGAACATTGAAAACATTAAGCTAAGTGAAATAAGCTGGACACAAAAGGACAAATATTGTATGGGTCCATTATATGAGATACCTAGAGTATTAAACTCAGAGACAGAAAATAGGTTACAAAGGGGTTAGGGGAAGAAGGGAATGGGGAGTTGTTATTTAACAGGCATAGAGATTTGGTAAGGGATGATGAAAGTTCTGGAAATGGATAGTGGTGATATCTGCACAACAATGTGAATGGAACTCATGCCACAGAGCTATGCACTTAAAAGTGCTTAAAGGGTAAATTTTATATCATGTATGTTTTGCTACAGTAGAAAGGTTAAAAAATCAATTAAGCATTAAAAAAATGTTAGTTGGTTGGAAGAAGGCATGTGTTTTGTTGAAAATGGAGATACTCTGGCATCTCTCTTCCATCCTGCTGCTGGAATGATTTACTTAGAACTGCAATCCCACCATGTCACTGCCTAGAACTGAGACTACTCCTTGTCACATATCAGATAAGTGACCAGATGAGGGCTGGGCCGAGGTATTTTCTTCAGAGCACCTATAGCCATGAAACCTGGCATACAGTGTGCTAGTTAATAGCCAAGGTTCCCAACTCCTTTCACTTGAGTGTGGACCAGAACTAGACCACTTGCCACTTATGTGACTTGGGCAAATTACCCATCCTTTCCACACCTTCCTCTCCTCATCTGTAAGACAGCGGGAATAAACAGCACCCACCTCCGAGAACTGTGGCAAGAATGAAATGAACTAATTTTTATAAAGCCCCTGGACCAGTGCCTGACAAGGAGTAATTTCCCAGGAATCAGTGGTGGTTATTATGACTGTCCTCCATCTCTGCAAGCTGAAGGCAGGTGGAAAGAGTAGCTGATAACTTTTAGATCTTATAACATTCCATTAGGATTTCTCTTTCCAGAGTTTTCTCCATTTCCTCCTGCTATTTCCCGATTCCTCTCCACAACCTCTCCCCATTGCTGTTTCCCCTCAAGAGAATTATTTTGAACGCTGTGGTGCCATTCACCCTAGAATTAAACCCCCTCTAGTGTGTCTCAGGAAATAACTTCTGGTATAACTTCTTGGTAAAACCGCAGCTTTTATCTTTCGTATTTACTGTGAATTTTGTCTATGAAATTTTCCCTTAAAGGGCTCTCTTTCTCTTCAGAAAGTAAAAAATCCACATTTGTCCTGTTATAGACTTGATATTTATGTCCCATGCCTTTAAGTAACGCTCTAACACTTGCTGCTGCCATAGTTTTGTGGGACATTAAGATGGCTCAGCTAAAAAAATACATAGAAATATTAACTTGAACCCAATATGTGTATGTATGTTTGTGTTGGAAAGAAAGATATAATACAAGAGAAGGGTAGTAATAGCTCACATTGAGCCTTACCAGGTGATGGTTTATGTGCCTTATCTCATTTACTGCTTGTAACAACTCTGTGAACCAGGTACTCTGCATTATCTCTATTTTATTGGTGGGGATACTGAAGTTAGGGGTCCCACAGTTCACAGGAACTTAACCATTGTCCACACTGCCTCTTAACCTCTTAACCATTGGCCACACTGCCCACACTGCTGAACCTGTGCTCAGAAAATGTCTTGGCCATTTTGGTCACCCTAAATGGTAGCATTGGGAAAAGGGCATCCCCGGGAGAACTATTAAGATAGTTAGATAAAATTAAGCCACCTTCTATTTCTGTAGGTAAGGAATGTGGGGATGTGCGGGAGAGTTACCAATCTCTCTTATAAGCGGTGACTTAAGAAGGGCTAGCACTGCCCTTCTCTCACTGAAAGCCCTCTGCTCTATAGCTTTGGAGAAAGCAAGATGAGGCAAAAAAGGAAGTAGGAAGAAGTGAATTTCTTCCATTCATGGTCTAAGGTAAGACTGCAAATACTCCTTTCCTAGAGAACGACTTCCTGAGCAGTGAAATGTCCATGAATACCAATGAGTACTTGGTTTATGACCAGGAGATGGCCATGAATGAAAATGGAATACAGGATTAAATATTTATCTTTGACTGGACATAGTCATTGTTCTAAATATGGAATAAAAATAGAAATCATTTTGTGATTTATTTCATACTAAATGCTTTATAGGTTTTATCTGTATTTTAATCCCCACCCCGCCCCCCACCGTAATAACCCTAGGAGGTAAATTCTAGCTCTCCCTTTTATAAAAGTGCAAACTCAGGCCCAAAGAGATGAAGTAGCTTGCCCAAGGTCACACAGTGCAGAAGTGACCCGCAGTTCCTTGACCACTGTGCTAAGCATATGGAGTCAAAGGCCCTGTTTCAAATGCTTTTAGTCAGGTGAAGTGTGACGTTGCTCCTGAATTGTTGAATAACTTTTTAATTAAAAAAGGCTATTTGGCTTTGATTTTTTTCTTTAAAAAATGTTAAATGGAAAAATATGACAGGAAATAGACATGTTTTAACATTTTCATATTTGCTTCCAATTTGTTTTTGTCTCATGTAAAGAAATACAAAATTGGGCAAGTTGAGGTTCCCTTCCTACTCTCCCCTAACTCTACTCCTGTCTCTCCCCAGGGCTACGAAGATCACTAATTTAGTCTGCATCTTTCCAGACTATGTTTTCATACTCTCTGTCTCTGAATATGTATCCATAAGTTGTTTTGTACTGCCAGATATAGTAATTGTTATCATACATATAAAATTTGCAGCCAGCCTTTTTTTCCCTCCACTCAACATTATGCTTTTGAGATCTGTGTCCATACACATAGATCTAGTTCATTCCTGTTGACAACTGTGGAATATTCCATAGTACAATGACACCACATTTTACCCACTCCCCTCCTCAAGGACATTGAAGCTGTTTTTAATTTTGCTCTCCTAGAATCAGTGCCACTATGAACATCCGTGAGTCAGAGTATCCAGAAATGGACCTGCTGGGTCCGAGGGTCAGCTTTGACTTTACAGGTACTTTTCAGAATTTCCAGACAGAGTTCCAACTCCTGCACTTGGGCAGACTCCTCGCTCTTGTTTTTCCTCTCTCTATGTGGCAATACATGTCAAAAGCTTTATTTATGTTCTGCTGGCTGTCTCTTTGTGACCAGGCTGAGTCTCTCCCTTCCCCTCCCCCTCCCCCTAGCAGTGACCCTGTCAGTGGCTGACACGGAAAGAAGAAAGGGATTGTTTGAACAGGGGGCACAACACCAGCAAACATCCAGCCCCCTTCATTCAAGTCTGACAATGAGACCAGGGCTAAGCCAGAGTCCCAGCCTCTTCCAGCAAGGCAGGGGCCGTGGGGAGAGAACAGAGGGAGCAGAAGAGAGGGCTGAGCTTTAGAGGGGGTGTGAGGGAACTGTCCAGTAACCAGACACCTGCTGGCTGCTGAGCTTGAACACAAAGGCCTCCTGGGACTTGACACCATTCACCCCAGCACAGGAGCTGACAGAGTCACACGTTGTGGCAGCGCTAGTTCCAGGTGAAGTTTGGGAGGGGGCCCTCGGATCTTCGTTAGAGGCCAGCCCCCGGGCAGGACATTATTTGACCACTTTATTAGACTTCAGGCCCCTGCCGGGAGTCTATTTCCTCACATTTATTGGCTTGGTTAGAAATCATACTTTTGAGCCAGCTGGTTCTCATTTCAGAGCCCACTTGCTCATTGGAGAAGAAGAAAGAATCTCTCTAGCTGCTCTGGGAATTTTGTTTTCATCTCTGTTTCCCCAAACAATGGCTTGCTGTCACTTTCATTTGGCATATTGGGTTACCAGTACTGAATTAAGTGGAACCGGGAGCATTTTAACTGCCCTCATTCCTCCCCACCCCCTTTGAGGGATTGTTTCTCAATGACTGATGTTTATCCATGTACGTCCTTTTCAGAAACAACAACAATAACAAATACCATCACAACAGCGAACCCGTGAACCCCTTGGAGAGACCTGAGGATAAGCCATAGTAAAACAGCACGTGATTGTCCTTAACCTCCGGCAGAAGGTGCCGCGTTAAGGAAACCGTCAAGGGCGATTTTACTCACCCTTGGAAGGGATCACGGTGGTGAAAACTTCTATATTTTCATCACTGCAGCTGTAAATCTGATGCATCGTCTCAGCCTTCTCTCCCCCAAAGTGCCGGGAACCGGAAGCCTCTCTCTGAACCCCTAGTCGTGAGGTTTCCTAATCCAGTCTGGCTCGGGGATCATTGTGCAGGTCCACAAAAGACAGGCTGGTGCTGTGATCTCATCTCATTCCAGAGTCTTCACTGCAACATTTTCTAATCCCATCTGTCTTTTTTTTTTTTTTTTTTTATGAATCCTATTATTGTAAACCTTTGATTGAGCGTGGAGGCTTCAGTCCCCTCCCAGCCAGGATGTAGTTAACATTTTTATTTTGCCGTGTCTGCTGCACTGATTTTGGAAGTCTTTTGTGAAGTAAGGATGAAGTGAAACCGCCCGCTCGGTTAGCGCCCAGCTTGGCTGGAGAATTCCACTGAAAAGGAGACGTGAATTTTGGTACCAGCAATTACCCTTTTCATTTCAGAAATGAAGGGAGCTTTTTAACCCCCCACTCCAGAAGAACTGGATATTCAGTAATCTGTCGTGTGTTACTTTGGCTTCCTTCTAAGTTTCTATTTTAAACAAAAGGACTGTTTGTCCAGAGCGGTTTTGCCTCATGCCGGTTCATGACAAGGCTGACATCTCTCGAGGGCGGTCTATTTAGCATCTCCTTGTACAGCCCTTCAGGTGCTCGCAGAGACATGGTAACAAGCGGTGCCCTCACACCCAAGGTAGCACAGGAAGATTAGATTTATAAGAAGATTTTATTTTTCTTACCCTAAATATCCTAATACATATTATCCTATATATTCTATTATCCTTTATTTATGTAGAACAATATATATCCTATATTTTATCTTATATATTCTATATATACACACAGAAATAAGGTATGTCTGAAATGTTTTTTATGTCAAACCCACCATCTTTCATTACACCATGACAGATTTATTTCTTCATATTGATAATGATGATGTAATCATATTAATAATGACAGTTGGCATTTATTAAACAGTTGCTAAGAGCTAGGCAGTGTGATATATAATCTTATTTAATGTCTACAACCACCCAACAAGACTAGTCATTATTTTTGCTGTTTTATAAGGTGAGGAAACTGAGGCATGAAAAGACTGAGTAATTTGCCCAAGATTAAAATATGGAATGCGTGGCAGAATCGGGTTTAATCCCTAATTTGACTCCAAAATCAATTTACTTAATCATTAAATTACATTCCGTTCTTTACCTCCAAAGCCTTGCCCCCTATTTTGAACTTAGGGGTATAAAGACCTATTAGACTTGGACTTGGTGTCCACTGCTGTTTCTATAGTAGACAAATTTGGGGCATATACTTATCAGTTAGTTGTCAATATTACACTTATATCTCAGAATTGCCCCTAGCCACAGAGGATGGCTCTGGGAAGCCATGTTTATTCTATCTGAATTTGTCCCCTGGACCATATTTGACTGGACCAAGGTAGACATGTAACCCAGACTGCTGCCTCTGGGGAACAGAAATTGGGCCTTAGGCTGGGGCCAAAGGAAAGGTAGAAACTCTCAATACCTAGGTGGTTCTCAGGGTCAATAGGGATGAAATTGAGGGGAAGCCTGTGGAAATAAATAGAACCAATGATCTGTACAGGGCCTGAGGCCTGAATGCAAATCCAGGGTAAAGAGTTTTAGCTGGGGGAGGAGAGCAAGTACTTTCACTTTGACCCATACTTGGTGGGTCTGTGGTTACCTGTACAGGTGGGTGAGAGCCAGTGCAAAGGATAGGGGGTTGGGGGTAAACAAAGTATTGGAAGAGAGAGGGGTGGGTGTGGAGAATTGAGAAAGAGCATAAAGAGGCAGAGATAAGGGAGGGACAGAAAAATAATCCAATTTAATAGTTTCCAATGAGATATTTAGGTCTTTATCTGGTAAGTGTCCTTTTTGTTTAAGTAGGTTTTGGTCATTGTCAGATAAAAAGAGTACTGTCTGAAGACATGTCTACACATTTTATAACCTCCAAGTGATTACATTTTTAAATAATAGAAAATTTAGGGGAATATCCAAATAGAAAGCAAGATCCAAAATTATGTTAAAAGACTAAAATTATGTTAACAGACTATAGGTAATAAAATATACATGGAATTTAATAAAACCAAGTGTAAACATTTACCTTTACATTAAAAAAATTATATAATACAGAATTGGGGTGACCTTATACCAGCATTTTATTAAAAAGAAACATGAAGTTTTGGTTAATCACATGCTTAATAAGAAGTAACAATAGTAAAAAGTAGGCGCTAGAAGACACAAATGTAGTTTCAAGGACCTGATACTAAATTATAATTAAGAAACTTCAGGGCGCCTGGGTGGCTCAGTGGGTTAGCCTCTGCCTTCAGCTCAGGTCGTGATCTCAGGGTCCTGGAATCGAGTCCCACATCAGGCTCTCTTCTCAGCAGGGAGACTGCTTCCCCCACCACCCCCCTGCTCTCTGCCTGCCTCTTTGCCTGCTTGTGATCTCTCTGTCAAATAAACAAAAAAAATTAAGAACCTTCTAGGGTACTCAGAAGCCAATCAGGGTCACCTGAATTTAATCTTAAGGAATCCAGGCTGGATTAGGTTTTTTCTAAGAAAGTCCAAACTTTGTCAATTAGAGTATATTGTATTACATCTAATGAATAAACCTGAAACACAGAACTAAAGGAGCTAATGTAATGAAACACAATCAGAGAAAAACAGTTCTTAAGAAGTAATTTTTACCTGTTGCAAGTATTTTTGAAGTGATAAAAATACATGCTTATTAACACATCAAAAAATTAAAGATGGGTATACAGAAAAAGTGAAATCTACTTCCCCTATTCTAGCTTCACTTCCTAAAAGCAATCATTGTTTACAGATTGGTGGTACATTTCCAGATTTGTTTGTTCTTATTTATATATTTATAAGTATATATATATATATATATATACTTTAAAAAATAGAAATGGAATCATACTACATATACACAGAGGTATGCATGTATGCATTCGTGTGTAAACATTTATAGTTCCCATATTTAAAATAAATGTGCAGAAGACTACTGCACATTTAACTACTCCTTTTTAAAAGAAGATTTTATTTATTTGAGAATGAGAGAGAGCGGGCATGAGGAGGGTGAGGGACAGAGGGAGATGCAGAATCCTCACTGAGCAGGAGTTAAGCCTGCCTTAGGGCTTGATCCCAGGAGTCTGGGATCATGACCCGAGCCCAAGGCAGACACTTAGCAGATCGAGCCACCCAGGAGCCCCTATCTACTCCTTTCTTGATAGACCTATAGCTTATTTCCATTTTAAAAAGTTATGAACAACTCTGCAGAGAACATTCAAATATATATATCTTTATACATGTCTTCTAACTTTTTTGTAGGCTATGTTTCTAGTTGTGAGAGTGTGGGTCATAGCATATCAGTGTTTAAAATTTTGAGGGCTTTTTCCACATTGCCTTGCAAAAATTCTGCATCTGTTGACACTTTCACTAATAGGATATGAGGGGCTTATTCCCCACACCTTAGGCAATACATGTTACTATTAATTTTTTTGGTCACAGTTATACTGTTTGGTTTTTGGGCTCTGAGCCAAGTATCTTGATCACATTTGATAGTTACAGGGCTCCTTGCCCAGATACCTTACAGTCCATGAAGGGGTGTATGGCTGAGACCTTGTTTTGGAATATAAACTCTATCACCTGAATGCAACAGTGAGTACACACCACGCCTGTGAGTCCTGGTGGCAACCCCTGCCAGGGTCAGCCAAAGCCTAAGTCAGGTAGAGTCTATCCTGGCCTGGGTTCCTCTTCTCTCGGGTTCTGGAAGTCAGTGATGAGGATTCTACACTGTTGGCACAGGGATGCCCACTTACTTGCAATTTTAAAATTTTGTTTCTACCCTGTCTCAAAGGGCAGGCAATTAATGTCGATGGAAGACTTTACTTATTTATTGCAGGCTTGGCTACCTATCTGCCTGGCTACTGGGGAGGGCTGAGTGGTGCTAGCTGTGTTTCTCCAACCTGAGTTCTGGAGAAAGACCATCACAAAGATGCTAGGAGGAGGCCTCTTAGAAAAAATTTCATTTCAGTTGAATCCTTAGCAATGTTTCTCGGTCTTTAATGTGATAGGAATTAGTGCCTTGTTAAAATGCAGATTCTGATTTCACAGGTCTGAGGTGGGCCCTGAGAGACTGAGTTTCTAAGGGGCTCCTATGAAATTTCTGATTGTTGGTGCCAGGGCACACTTTGGAATTAGAGCAAAAAGTTCATTTTAGGAAAGCAGACGTTCCTGACCCAGAGGCACTAGCAATAGGAGGAGCTCAGGTCCCTCACTAGAGGGTTTAAATATGATTCTCCAGGGCCAAGGCATAGATATTTAAAAACACCCCTCCGATGAGGGGTGCCTGGGTGGCTCAGTTGGTTAAGCATCTGTCTTCCGCTCAGGACATGATGCCAGGGTCCTGAGATCGAGTCCTACATCAGGCTCCCTGCTCAGTGGGGAGTCTGCTTCTCCCTCTACCCCTCTCCCTGCTCATGCTTTCTCTCTCTCTCTCAAATAAGTAAATAAGATCTTAAAAAATAAACAATGATAATAATATCTGACTGGGGCTTGGGTGAAGTGAGGTGGTTCTCAAACTGTCTTCAGGCAGCAGCAGCAAGGAAATAGGGAAATGTTAGACATGCAAATTCTCAGACCCACCCTGCCTCCAAAATCAGAAACTCCCAGAGCGCAGCAATCTGCATTTTAACAAGCTCTCTGGGGGCCTCTGACCTTCGCCAAAGTTTGAGAACCACTCTTGAAAGAGCCATCTTCCAAGATTTGGACTCGTGGTTCTCAACCCCGATTGCGCATCAGACCTGCTACGTGGCTTGATAAAGCCTGGGCTGCACCCCCATCTTTTTCTGATTCCAAAGATTTGGAGTGGTTTCTGGGAGTGTGTGGCTTTAAAAGCACCAGGGGAATGTGGATTTGGGGGCCGAGCAGAGAGGTGGTAACCTCTCAACATGAATGGTGGTCTATGGCCCCTGGCTCGTGAGGTACAACCTTGGCCCATTCGCCCCCCATTTACTGAAGCCCATCATGTGCCAACACTATGTCAAAGATATCCCTGTTGAACTGCTATTATGTCCCAGGCATTTTATATGTTAGTCCTACAACAATCTGGCAAGGTGGACCCACTACCACTTTACAGAAGAGAGCCCCTAACCCTGGTCAGTCATGATGACTCCAAAGTCCTGACCACGCCCTCCCCCGGTGCTAATCTGTGCAGACTTAGGGAGGGCCTCTATGTTCAATCTTCAGTGGTTTATTCTGTGAAATTGGAGATATGTTTGTAATTTTAATGGATATAACATTTACCTTTCAGTTCCTCTGAGGGAGAGAGAGATGGTTTCAATCTTTAACTTAGGCAAATTGATGTTCTCTGTGTGTGAAAAAGACTCTTGTCAGAGGGCAGGTGCTTGGAGGTAGGGTGATCAGATAAAATACA